TAACACAGGGCACCTCCCGCAGCGGGGGTTCATGTCAGCTGCTGTGTTGCTGCTGTTGAGGGAGTCCTGGACCCCTGAGCAGATGAGGGCTCACATCGCCTCAGGTCACTGCCACTCCTGATCTAGAAGCAGGAGGGCCAAGGGTCAGGACTCTTGAAGTCAACAGCTCCACAATCACTTCCTGATTGACGTCAGGGGCAGCAAGGCTTGAGGTGGTCAGACAGACAGGCCCCTGGTCTCAGGGAACGAACATTTTAGTGGTGGCTTATACACAGAAGCCTGAAAGCCAACCCAGTTGTCGACATACAACCAGGCTATGAAGAAAGCAGCAGGGCTCAGCAACCTCCCCACTGGAAAACAAAGGCCAGAAGTGCACCAGGAGGGCACAGGGCTGTTGGGAAGTCTGAATGTGATAAGCCACAGAAAAGGGTCACCCAAGACTCATTCACTTCTGCTTGGAGGATAAAACATAACCCACAGGCAGAATCCAGACATGCAAGTTTCAGGGCACTCCCCATCCTTCTTCCTAAGGCCTCTCCATGCCCTCAGAAGTTGCTATTCAGTTGTTCTTTGCTCCTTATGCTTTTGGGTTTTTCTGCTTTTTAAAAATATGTTTCTGGCTAAATAACACTCAACTTTCTCCTTATGGTCCAAGCAGAAAGCTCTCCATCTCCTAGGTCCCAACCTGGAGCTCAAATCTCCTTCGGGGACTGACCTGTCTGTCCTGAGTCTGCTCCATGCTCCCTAATGTCCTCCTGGCACTTGAGTAGAGCCCTGATACACGCTGCCCTTCCCCCACCCCTCAGGGTCTCCTCCCCTCTGCAATCTGTTCAACCCAACAGACATTTATTTATTTCACAACTATATGTGCAATATGCTGTACTGAGAGGTGGGAGGCATAAAAAGTCTCAATAAGATGGCAGAAAATTTTAAAAGAACTGGAAGAAGTGACTGACGAAGTCGTTTCATTCATTCACTGCTTACCCACTCCATGCCAGGCACAGTGCCAGCAACTATAGATACATACTTGTTTTCTGGGATCCTACAGACCAGACATACGGTCGACGCTAACCCAACAATTCCCCTGGAAACGCCCAAGGCCCACAAAGGCCAGCTTGAGAACTTCTCCTGGAGTGCTGTGGGGACAGAGGATGTTCAATGAAGAGATGACCCAAACTCACCAATAACATCACAACTACCCTCCCCACGAGCTCCTGTAAGTGTCATCAACTCCCATAACCAGGCTTGGGGGTTTCACCTTCACCTTCCAAGGCTCCTATTCCTGCAAGAGCCTAAGGAGGAGGCATCTTCTAGGGCTCAGGTGGAGGTCTTTTTATTTTCCCTTCACCTTCCCTGTGAGGCAGACTGGACTCCAGCTATTTTATAGGTAAAAGTGATGATCCAGAAACATTAAGTATCCTGCCCACGGTCACGCGATTAACAAATAGAGAAAGTGGGATTTCCAGAGCTTCACAATGCACACCTGCACAGGTAAAGAAGACCACTGTAGTAGGAAAGGGTGGCACACACAGCCTTGAGGAAAACACTCTTGCACATTTCAACAAGTGTTTTACATGCCAGGTGCCATGTTTCATAGGACTGGGGTTCCAGGGGAAACTACAAGGGACTGAGAGCCAACATACCAGAGGGGTCACCCACTTTAGGCACAGTAAGCAGGGAAGAACCTGGAGTACTTGGTATTTAAGCAGACATCTAAAGGAAAGGAAGAGAAACTGGTCATAAGTGCGGGGGGAAGTCTACCCATTGTCGAATATCCTAAATGCTTGGTAATAACTTGTTTAAAAGGAGAAGGAAAAAAAACCACAACTTGGAATGTTCAAGAAGCTGAAAAGACCAGAAAGAATGGAGCAAGCTGGGGGGAAAGAGGGGCGTGGTGAGAAGAGGTGGCCAGGCCAGGCCATGGTGAGGGGCTGGGAGTCTGGGCCATCTGGAGTCTTATTCTAATGCTAAAAGAAGTCACAGACAGGTTTTCAGCAGGGCAGCAGAGAGCAAGGGGAGGCAGCAAGCAGTCCGGGATGGGCCCAGATGAGGTAGAGGCGGTAGAGGGCTAAGAGGAGGCTATACTAGAGAGTCCCTGCAAGGGCTCTCCTAACCAGCCCCAAGTCAAAACTGCTTGTTCTCATGATGGCCAAGAGACCAGATTACTGGGCGTGTGATCTGAACCATTGTTCTCTTAGTAGATACTTAAGAGCAAGGCGGAGACAGCGAACCAGCTATCAGCTGCTTCTCCCTCTGCTGCAACTCCCGTTTTCACTATGCTTTCTTTACTCCCTTGCTCATCTATAAACTACTTGGGTTCAAAACATTTCCCAAGATACCCACCTTCAACCAACAGCATAAACACCAGAGGAAGTTAGAATTAACCCTGGGAACAAAACAAATCAAGGCCCCAAGAATCATGATTTTCAAAGTGAACCATGGAGATAAAACAGACAAATCTGCAAACTGAGAACACCGCATCATGTTAGGCAGACAACCTCTGAAACTGCTCATCCTAGCAATGGTAGCAGAAGGGCTCCCCAAAGATGTCCAGGGGAACCCATGAACACGCTACGCTATATTTACAGAGATAATTAAAGTTATACACTTTAAAATAGGAACATCATCCTGGATTATGAGAGGACCCAATCTAATCTGAGTCTTTATTAGAGAATTTTCTTGGCTGAAGTCAGAAATATGCAGTAGAAAAACCCACACCTAATGAAGAGGGCCAACATAGAAAGTGTGAGACTGAATACAGGCCCCTTTCAGGAACAAAGACTGACCACTGGATAATAAATAGTAGGGTACAAGAACACCTCAGTCCTACAACTGCATAGACTGAATCTGACCAACAATCTGAATGAGCCTGAAAGCAAATTCTACTGCAGAGCCTCTGGGGAAAAAATGCACACCTAGCCAATGTCTTGATTTCAGCTCTGAAGACTCAGCTGAGACCGCCCAGACTTTGGATCTACGGAAACTGCCAGGTGATCAATTTGTGTTGTTTTAAGTCACTATATTTGTGGTATTTTGTTACGGCAACAAGAGAAAAACTAATGCTCAAGCAGCTATCTGGCAAAAAAAAAAAAAAAAATCCAGCTTCCCTAGAAGCAGAAGGAAGTTGAATTATGAAGTATACAGTCAGTCCTTGACACCCAAAGACTCTTCAATTGCCCTCCCTGACCTCTGACTCTCCCCGACCCTCCCCAATTTCCTTTGATGGCAACTCCTTCTGGTTCTTTGATCTCCCCAAAGAGAAATCACTGCCCTGGGGGCTTTTCTTGCAGGAGCTCTGAAGTGGACCATCCATCAAGATTTCATCTATAGACAATTCCAGGGCATCAAAAAAAAAAAAAAAATACCCAAAAAACAAAAACCACACTGTTCATGGATTCTGCAATATCTGCAGAATTGTCCCCAGACTATTCCATGGCAGTGCCCAGCCACTAACTCTACAGTCTCTACGTCTTCCACTGTACTAAGAGGCTTCCCAACATTCCATCCCACTTCCTTCCTTCCACGCTGCTGCACTCCACCCCCTCCATCCAATTAGTCATCAAGGACTGTCTCTGCTTGCTCTCCCCTTTCTCTGGAATGGTCTTCCTCCTTCAGTTTCCACCACTGTCTGCTGCAGACCTTTATAATCTCCTGCCAACCAGGTCATTCCACAACCATTTTATGGAGCAGTGTGACAGGCAGTGATCTAGCAGTAAGAATACAGGGATGAAAAACGACAGATCCCCAAACCCCAAGAGTTCAAAACTCATAACAGCCTAACTGGCCTCTCACTCTCTCTCTCTCCTCTGTTCTTGATCCATCTCCAGGGACTAAGGGAATCTTCCCAACTCTGGCATTTTACTCCCTCAAAGCAGGCCACATGCCAAATACAGGCTCAACTCCTTGGCACAGCACTCCCACCACTAACATGTCAGCACCTGCTCACCCTCATTCCTTTACCATCTCCTGAACCTCCTTACTCCTGAAACCCCAGAACTCAGCCTAAAGCAATGTCCTCCATGCAGCGAGCATTCACACTTCTCCACTACTCAGCCTGGAATGGTGGCCTTTCACACTCCTACTAGTCTTTTTAGTGCTCAATTTTATTCGTCACCTACTCCACAGACTCTTGGTCTGCTCAAGCAAACGGACAATCCTTCCCAGAGGAAAGACTGCACTGTAACTACTCCTTTGTGGTAGTCCGTTCCCTGGGGGCAGGGGCTGTCTCAGGCAAATTTGTGGCTATCACCACACCAGTAAGCTCAATAAAAGACTGCTAAATGAAACAAGTAGCCGGTGGTGAAGCCTAGGGCGCACTGGCAGCCCCAGCAGAGAGGGGTTCAGCAGTGAAACTGTAGGGACGAGGTATTAACTCCAGCTCTTCATTCCGTCCTCCCAACCGAAGGTCGCTTCCTGACAGCCTCTTCCTGCCACTCCTCGAGAAATCCACACTGGGGGCGGGGGAGGCAGGTTCCCCGTAGCTTCTCCATCCCCCACCGCCCTCAGCCCCAAGCATCTAGCTTCCCTACCTCATCTTCCATCCACCTTGCTCCAAATTCTTTCTCTCATTTTGATGCGCTTTTCTTAAAGAGGAATCACAAACCACCCAGATCTGCTAAAGCCACCACGGGCTGCCCCTTTCCTTTTTCGAACTCAGTGTGATTCAAAGCAGGGGAAAGTCTGCAACCAAAGCACACAAATGACGAATGAGAAAGCTCAGGATGATGACTCATAAACCAGGGCTCGCTGGTTTGCAGAGTTCGGCCCCAGGAAAGCTAACGAACAATCCGTATGAGCCAAGAACGGAAGGGACAGCGCTCCGCAGCGCCCCGTAACTCACGCGAGTCCCTGGCGCCTTCGGCCTCCCGGCACCCCCAGGCCCCCACGGGTCCGGTCGCCCTAGGTCTCCCGCGGGTCCGGCCCGGCCTCGCCCTCCGGGCGCGGGAGGTCTGAAGGGGAAAGGTCCAGGGATCTCGCCCTCTAGACCGGCCCCTACTCACATTTGACTGACCAACTTCTGCCGGAAGGCGGTGCTCCGCCAGTCGGTCTCCTGCCCTGAAACGTCCATGCCGGTCCCTCCGCTCCCACCTCCCGCGTCCCGCTCTGCCGCCTCCGCCGCCTCTACCGCTGCGCCAGGCCCAAACCCGGAAGCCGTCGGAGGCGCCTCCGCCGCGCCGGAAGCCGAACGGGAGTTGTGGGAAATGGAGTCGCGCGCGGGGACCTGTGGGAAATGGAGTTTCCAGACCGCGCCGGGCAACTTCTCGGCGCCCTTCCTCTCCCGCGTACCCCAAATCAGTGGTCACTCTCCCAGCGCGGATGTCGCGCGGGACGGTGATCCCACATGCTCTGGGCTGAGGAGAGTGGGTGTGCGGGAGCCATGGCTGCATAGTCCTCCTGATACTGCCCTTAGCTGGCCCACGCTGGCCACCTGCCTTTCTTGCGACCCTACTGCGTGCTAGTCTCACCAAATCAACAAGATCAGCACCCTGAGGCAGAGCTGGTAGCAGTCTACAGGAGATGCTATGAAAAGATTGTTTATTTGTCAAATCTTTATTAGCGCTTACTGTGAACCGAGTACTATGCCGACATGATCCAGGTTCTGCTTTCCTGCCACTGCCTTACAGCGCCACGTGCAAAGCGTGACCAGATAGAATTACGCTACTGCTTCTCTTTGTTAGACTTTCGGAATCTCATATCACGCTGTGTTTTGTAAGGGGTGGAGATGTAAGGAGGCTAAACTAAACCACATTCATTAAATTTTAGATACGGGCAATCTTGCTTGGCCCAAGAGCCACGTCCTGGTCACGGAGAACACAAGCCCAGATCCTCACCGGACCAGGATAGCACACAGGCCAGATAGCACACAGACTTGTTGGATGGAGGCAAGTGAGCTGGAAGTAGGATGCAAGGGGGTGACAGGGCCTGAGGATACCTTTAGAAGGATAAAAGTTCTGCTGGATAGGATCTGTATGGCCCTTGTCTGTGCCAAAGGGAAGGAAGGGTAGGTGGCAATAATCCTGAGCCCAAATGGTCCACAAGTGCCAAATGGACAATCACCAACACAAGCCTCAATTCCGATTGAGTGCCAGCCCCAGGCTAGACTGTGTACACCCCCGTCTCCATATCCCAGGCAGGAGCTTGGGGTGGGGTGGAAATTGGGAGAGTAAAATGTGACCAGGTTCCCGAGAAGGATCCCTCTTGCCCACAGGGTTTCAGGTCTTGAGTCGGCAGGAAAGCTTTGCACATCTTCAAACTTTTTTGCTCATTCGCCTGAAAATAATTTTTTAAAACTCTGTATTTAGGATGATCAACTTGTTCTGGTTTCTCTAGTACTCTATGTGCTTTAGCTCTGAGATTCCTGCATCCCTGCAACTCCCTGAATCCAGGCCAACTGGCATAGTTGATCACTCTATCTATATACCTCTTGCACATTTGTGTTCCTCTTGCACATTTTTTTTTAATTGAGATAGAATTTGGAGCGCCTGGGTGGCTCAGTCCGTTAAGCGTCCGACTTTGGCACGGTCATAATCTCACAGTTTGTGGGTGTGGGCCCTGCGTCAGACTCTGTGCTGACAGCTTAGAGCCTGGAGCCTGCTTAGGATTCTGTCTCCCTCCCTCTCTCTCTCTGCCCCTCTCCCACTTGTGCACTCGCTCTCACTCTCTCCCTCTCTCAAAAATAAACATTTTTTAAAATAGAGATGTAATTCACATACCATATAACTCACCCTTTTAAAGTGTATAATTTAGTGTTTTTTAGTATTATTCATGTATTCATGAGGTTGGACAACCTTCGTCACTCTCTTGCACATTTTAATTTTTTTTTAAGTAGGCTTCATACACAACATAGGGCTTGACTTATGACCCTGAAATCAAGGGTCATATGCTCTACCGACTGAGCCAGCCAGGTATCCCACTCTTGCATATTTTTTAAAAATTTGTTATAGTTTTTATTTTTGAGATAGAGACAAAGTATGAGTGGGGTAGGGGCAGAGAGAGAGGAAGACACAGAATCTGAAACAGGCTCCAGGCTCTGAGCTGCTAGCACAGAACCCGATGCGGGGCTTGAACCCATGAACTGCAATATCATGACCTGAGCCAAAGTCAGACACTTAACCGACTGAGCCACCCAGGTGCCCTTCACTCTTGCATATTTTTAAGTTGACATCTAAATACTTTCCTGAACATCATTGGAAAGGTGTGACTGTAGTGTATCCTACATTGTATATGGGCTCCAAATGCATTTTTTTAAAAGTAGGTTTCATGCCCAGTGCAGAATCCAACATGGGGCTTGAACTCATGACCCCAAGATCAAGACCTGAGCTGAGAACAAGAGTTTTACTTGGAGTACCTGGGTAGCTCAATCAGCTAAGCATACAACTTCAGCTCAGCTGATGATCTCACAGTTCACAAGTTTGAGCCCCGCATGCTGACAGCTCACAGCCTGCAGCCTGCTTTGGATTCTGTGTGTATGTCTCTCTCTCTGCCCCGTGCTCATGCTCTGTCTTTCTGTCTCTCTCTCTCAAAAATAAATACACATTAAAATTTTTAAAAAGAGAGAAAGATGGATATTTAACTGACTGAGCCACCCAGGCAACACTGCATTTTTTCAAGTTTTATTTATTTATTTTGAGAGAGAGCGAGCAGGGTAGGGGGAGAGAGAAAGGGGGAGAGAAAGAATCCCAAGTAAGCTCCACACTGTCAGCGCAGAGTGCACTGTGAGATTAAGACCTAAGCCAAAATCAAGAATGGGATGCTCAACAGACTGAGCCACTTGGGTGCCTCAAGCACCCCTGCATTTGTTCTTTATGTCCTTGGCCCTGCACATTCCATTCATCAATTTATGGAAAACATTGGACTCATAACCTCATTGGTAAAACCAGTCCTCATTGTCAAACCCTTGGGTAAACAGAGACGCCCTGGGGCTTCTGGAAGAAAAGAGTGGACTTCCTATCATGTTTAACCAAAATGAGCATGTGAATAGATTCCTCAGGACATTTCTCCCCCATTCTGCACTCTGTTTTGGGAAGGCTGATAGAGCAACAGACACACAGTTTCACAGACAGACAGAGGCCGGGAGCTTGTCAAGAGTTTGTCATTGGGATAAAATTAAGTGCTACCCCTTTTGCTGTTTGCTCCAGAGCTCTATTTCTACTGGTCCTTTTGCAGCCCAGAGATGGTAGTAACTCCTGGGGCAATGGTCTTTGGTTAGAATTTGCATGGGTGGCCAGGGAAGGTAAGGAGGTAGAGACAAGCACGGACTCCCTAGCCTCTGGGAGACAGGAAGTCTATGGGAAGGTGGATCTTGAAATGGACTTGCACTCTCTCAGCACCTGCAGAGCCCCTGTGGACCTCAGTGTGAAAATGGGTGATTTAGACCCTGAGAAGGAAATGATGAAGGAAGTTGAAGCCATTCCCAGGCCTGACATGGATGCCACACCAATTGAAGTTAGGTAAGTCTCTGTCTTCCCGGTTCCTGCAGGCTACCCTGCCATTGCTGAATCCTGCCACTAGCCACACACTTTATGAATATGATTTTAGGTCCTGCAGGAGCCCAGAGCTGGAAGCTTCTGGGGCAGATGAACCTTCCCTGTAGGGAGCCTTGCACATGATCTTTGAGCATTTGTCTCTGTCTCCCTTCAGCTTCTTGTGAGGACCTGTCTGATTCCCTGCCTTGCTTTGGTGCTCAGTCCATGGAAGTTGCTCAGCTGCCCCTCTTTCCATCTTAGCACCTGCTCAATGTAACCCCAGTACTGTGTTTAGCTTGGAGCCTCCAATCACCTCTTCGTGTATGGATGGGGGTGGGGGACAGTGGCAGTGATTATTTCTTCTAAAAACAATACATGGAAATTTTAGAAAGGACCAAACATAAATCCCATCATTCAGAGGCAGCCATTGTTTATTTTTAGATAAACTCTCCTTTTTCTTTCTCACTCCCTCTATTTAAAAAATACAGCAAATCATGGTGTAGATGCCATTTGATCCTGTCTGTAAACCTAACATCATAGCATAAGCATCTCCCAAAGATTAACAAGCCTTTAGCAACTGGAATTTTAATTATAATTTAGATTATAAAACTACATCATGGGTAAATATATACAACCAACTGTAACTCGTGTGAAATACGATTTTTTTTTTTTAAATGTTTTATTTATTTCTAGGAGAGAGAGAGAGCGTGAGCAGGGGAGGGTCAGAGAGAGAGGGAGTCACAGACTGAAACAGGCTCCAGGCTCTGAGCTGGCAGTCAGCACAGAGCCCGACGCGGGGCTCGAACCCACGAACCGCGAGATCATGACCTAAGCGAAAGTCGGACGCTTAACCGACTAAGCCACCCAGGCGCCCCGAAATACGATTTTAATAATAGTGTCATATACCAACCTATGAAACCTGTCACATCTTAGTCATTCCCCTGTTCTTGGACCTTTAGATTGTGGATGTTTGATTTCCTATTACAGACAAGGTGTGACAAACATCTTTGTGCACAGATCTGTTAGTGTTTCAGAAGATTTCCTCAGCCCAGACATGAGTCCTGGGTCCTGGTGACATACATTTGAAAGCTCTTACATTTGATATAAATTCATGCATTATACAGATTAAAGGATAATTTTTTTAAATAGATAAAATCATAGCTTTCCAGTATATATTAACTCATTGAAGAGAAAACTATTAGAGGCACCTGACGGGCTCAGTTGATAGAGCATGCAAGTCTTTTTTTTTTTTTTTTTTAATGTTTATTTATTTTTGAGAGAAAGAGAGAGAGAGCATGGAGAGAGGGAGACAGAGGATCTGAAGTGGGCTCTTGGATGAAGGTAGAGAGCCCTATGCAGGGCTCGAATCCACAAACCATGGGGTCATGACCTGAGCCAAAGTCGGATGCTCAACGGACTGAGCCACCTAAGCGCCCCAGGCATGCAACTTTTGATCTCAGGGTCCTGAGTTCAAGCCCCATATGGTTGGGTATGGTGCCTGCTTAAAAAGAAAGAAAAGAAAGAGAGAGAGAAAGCAAGCGCGCAAACAAGCTGGTAATATCTTACCAGATTTTTAGTATTTGGGAATATTACAATGCATATGTAAATGAGATAAAACTGGCAGACAGTGGGGGAGAAAAATCATTTGAATCTCCACCTGGCATGATTTGCATGTCT